TTAACATTTTAGGACCTCGTGGCTTTAAATTTAGAGATCTGTTTTTTTTTAAATTTTGAAACATTATGCTAATAATATTGTTATAAGAATAATAATACTAATTAGGAAAATAATAAAGTAAGTAGTAAGTTTTAAAGATAAGAATAAAGAAATTCATTACTGGGAAAGTGATGAGAGAGGCCTTGAGAGTAATAGCCCAGCTCTTTTTCTGAGTGTCCTGTGAAGCCATTTGAACAGTTACTGGCAAGATTTTAAACATGAAATGTATTTGTGACTAAAACCGGCCTTCGCAATAGGCAGCCTCACTGCTGCACCCTCACGGGCCTCACTGTAGAATTAGACTCAAATGACAGCTGCAAGGGAACAGGGCAGTGCGATGGCCAGACCTGTGTTTACTGAAAGATTGAGCGTGTAGACATTTAGAGCTTCACACCAGTTCGGAGAAGTAGGATTTGTAAAAAATGGCAATGGGCAGCTTTTTTTTCTGGCACGGGTAGATTTGATTAAAAATCATCCAAGGGACTGCAAGCTGTACTCTGGGGAGGGGGATGGGTAAGGAGGGGAGGGGTCTGATGAGCCAGACTTCAGAAAGTGTCTGTGGAAGGCTTGGAACTGGGGGTGGAGAAGAGAAATGAATGGAACATCAAGATATTTGAAACAAACTTTAATAGATTGTTGCTGCTTGTTTCTATAGACATTGTTGGGAATAATGCAGGGAGGATAGTGCATTGTGGTCCTCCAGCCAACTCCGCGTGCTTTCTGGTTTCGTATGGCCCAGGAGTCAAGACTGAGTTTTACATTTTTAATGGGAAGAAATAAAAAGAAGTATAGTATTTCATGACACATGAAAATGGTATGAAATACAACTTTCTGTGTCTGTCAGTAAAATTTTATTGGGATACACCTACACCCACTTGTTTCTGCGTTCTCTAAGTATGTTTCTGTGCTGCCCTGGTATGTTTCCATGTGATCTAGGTACTGGCTGTAGCTGCTCTTGTGCTGCCGGGCAGCGTGGAGCAGTTGTGATGAGATTCATGAAGACTAATGTGGTTATTTCTGCCCTCTACAGCAGCGGTCGCCAGCCGGTGGTCCGCGGACCACTGGTGGTCTGTGAGGTCTGAAAGGTTGGTGACCGCTGCTCTACAGAACAAGTTTGCTGTCGTAGAGGACTGCCTGCAGTACATTAGAGTGAGCAGTATAGCTTTTCCTAAGACTAGGAATGTTTGCCATTAATAAGTTTGTTTTCTGTGCTCTTGTGTTTGTTCATCAGGAATCAGTGCTTTTTCTAGTCAATCGTGTCATTAATTCTGCTCTCAACAGAACATTGTACAGTCGGTTGTTCTGTGCCTGTGTCCGACAGAGATAGAATTTCTTAGGGGCCTTGAAAAGATAGTTGACATTGGGCTTTTACATGACCCTTAGTGTTTTTAAAGGTGAGGGTCAGGGTGTGTTACAAATCACTTTTGCTTTGCTTTGTTTGAACTTATTTTAATGTAGGTTTTTATGAACGCTTGATCTTCATGTGTCATTGAGATGGTTTCCTTTGCGTATTCTTTCCACAGCCTCAATCTTTAAGTTCTAACTTAGCCTAAAGGGGAAGGTCATTCTTCTTTCTGACCCTTCCCTGAAATTAATTGTGCTAAATCATCAGTCTCCTAGGTTTTAAGCCGTCCTCCTGCAGAGGACTCTTGTTATAAAATGTCCATTTGTGCTGGCTCCTGTGCACAGTGTTGTAGCAATAGAGCAGGGACACTTGGGACTCAGCGCTATTAAGTACTTCTAAAGTGCCAGGTAACATTAATGCAATCATCTGATCCACAGCATTCATGTAGTGTCCCCCATCCCCATCCACCAAGCTAAGTGCTATAAATGTGTTAAGATCACATCCCTGTAGGATAAGCATGTCAAACTCAAAGGCTAACATGGGCCAAATAAACAAGGTTTAAGTTCATATGGGCTGCAAAAAAACAAAAGCTTCAATTTTCATAGACATGTAGGTTTATTTCAATAGAGACATGCTGAATACAAAGGGCTGAAATAAATGAGTAATCGTTAAGAAAATAATAGAACATTTTAATAAAAATTAATTTTTTTCTTAAACATTAACTTACCAGACACTGAATAACTGCACAAATTAATAAGCGTAACACAAATAAACCTATTTTTCTTGTTCTCCGAAAGCGAAATATTTCCTGTTGCTCACACCAAACAAGTCAGTACAAGACTAACGACGGGGCAATCGGCTGCTAAAATATTCAATGCTAGTATTAGTGGAGAGAAATGGTACACCTGCATGTAAGGCGCATAAGGGAAATGAATGCAATACGATTATATTAATTAGTCATTAGTGAACGTTGTAGCTTGTTATTAATAACTAGATGCCCAGTGCATGGGGTCCCTCAGCCTGGCCTGTTCCCTCTCGCAATCCGGGACCCAGAGAGCCGGTTTCAGCCTGATCCCTGCAGGCCAGACCAAGGGACCCCACCGGTGCACATGCACTGGGCCTCTAGTATGCATAAGATCTTGGGTTAACCTCTTCCTTCCCTCTCCCCCCTTCCCTCTGATATTCATTAGTCTGTTTCATGTTTCCATGCCTGTGGTTCCGCTCCTGCATTGAGTGTCTGCCCCCTGGTGGTCAGTGCACATCATAGCTACTGGCCGGTCGGCTGGTCACTTAGGCTTTTATATATAGAGATTATGCATAACAGGATATTGTAAAAATTAAGTTACGAAATATGTATTAAAACGTTTCTTACATACTGTTATATTGGCTGGGCCACAAAAATATTTGTTGTGGACCACATGCAGCCTGCGGGCTACGAGTTTGGCATGTTTGCTGTAGGAGGAGGGTGGAGTTGTTAGTCTGCATTGGGGTCTGGTCTAGATGAAGAAACATCCTATATAATATAGAGGTAATATGCAAATTGACCATCACTCCAACACAAGATGGCCACTCCCATGTGGTCAAAGATGGCCACCACAAGATGGCCGGCAGGGGAGGGCAGTTAGGGGTGACCAGGCCTGCAGGGGAGGGCAGTTGGGGGCGACCAGGCTGGCAAGGGAGGGCAGTTAGGGGTGACCAGGCCAGCAGGGAAGGGCAGTTAAGGGCAATCGGGCTGGCAGGGGAACAGTTTGGCATCGATCAGGCTGGCAGGGGGAGTGGTTAGGGGCCAATCAGGCAGGCAGGCAGGCGAGTTTAATTAGTCATTAGTGAACGTTGTAGCTTGTTATTAATAACTAGATGCCCAGTGCATGGGGTCCCTCAGCCTGGCCTGTTCCCTCTCGCAATCCGGGACCCAGAGAGCCGGTTTCAGCCTGATCCCTGCAGGCCAGACCAAGGGACCCCACCGGTGCACATGCACTGGGCCTCTAGTATGCATAAGATCTTGGGTTAACCTCTTCCTTCCCTCTCCCCCCTTCCCTCTGATATTCATTAGTCTGTTTCATGTTTCCATGCCTGTGGTTCCGCTCCTGCATTGAGTGTCTGCCCCCTGGTGGTCAGTGCACATCATAGCTACTGGCCGGTCGGCTGGTCGCTTAGGCTTTTATATATAGAGATTATGCATAACAGGATATTGTAAAAATTAAGTTACGAAATATGTATTAAAACGTTTCTTACATACTGTTATATTGGCTGGGCCACAAAAATATTTGTTGTGGACCACATGCAGCCTGCGGGCTACGAGTTTGGCATGTTTGCTGTAGGAGGAGGGTGGAGTTGTTAGTCTGCATTGGGGTCTGGTCTAGATGAAGAAACATCCTATATAATATAGAGGTAATATGCAAATTGACCATCACTCCAACACAAGATGGCCACTCCCATGTGGTCAAAGATGGCCACCACAAGATGGCCGGCAGGGGAGGGCAGTTAGGGGTGACCAGGCCAGCAGGGAAGGGCAGTTAAGGGCAATCGGGCTGGCAGGGGAACAGTTTGGCATCGATCAGGCTGGCAGGGGGAGTGGTTAGGGGCCAATCAGGCAGGCAGGCAGGCGAGTGGTTGGGAGCCAGCAGTCCTGGATTGTGAGAGGGATGTCCGACTGTGAAGAGCAGGCAGTTGGATATCCCTCGAGGGGTCCCAGATTGGAGAGGGTGCAGGCTGGGCTGAGGGACACAACCCTCCCTCCCTCCCCGTGCACTAATTTCATGCACCGGGCCTCTAGTAATTGATATATAGTTCTCCAGAGGTCCATTTCTAGACCTGTCTTACTTAGAATTTATATAAAGCACTGGGGAGTGCTGCCCTAGTAGCATAGCATCTGTGACTGCAATTGTCTGAATAAGGAGAAATGGACAAAGAGCTATAATGTACAAGTTTAAAATAATGGGCTTGGGGAAAATATTCCATTCTACAGTTGTAGGATTATGGTTTTCAAGCTATTAGTAGGGAAGAGAATTTAAAAGTTGTTTATTATTTGAAAAGGACAGATTGGTATACTGTGGCCAAAAGACTAGTTCTGGATTTTAAATGAAAGTTTATTGGAAACATCGAAAAAAAGTTCCCACTCTTGTACATAATGATCTCTATTTTCTTGAAAATATGTTTTTATTGATTTTAGAGAGAGAGGAAGGGAGAGGGATAGAGAGATAGAAACATTGATTGGCTGCCTCCTGCACACCCCTACTGGGGATCAGCCCACAACCTGAGCATGTGCCTTGACCGGGAATTGAACTGGAGACCTCCTGGTTCCATGCTCAACCACTGGGCCACACACCTCTCTTGTTTTTAGTCTGTAGATTTGGACACAGTGCTTCAGTAAAGGATGGTCCAGAAGAGGGATGGCCAAGGATTGGAAAACAAAGGAAGGGAAACACTTCCGTCTGCATCATTACAAAAATTCAGCTGTGTTAGGCATTCATTCACCTAGTTACTTGTTGAGAAACTATGTTGTAGGCCCTGTGTTGGCCTCACAAAATGTCCTCTGTCACCTGTGCCAGACAGGAAACTGCTGGTCTGTGCAAAACGTACGTCTCACTAGTTTGTTTTTGGTATGCTCTTATAGGAAAAACAAAAGGACAAGAAATACAAAACAGACAAAGCCTTGCGATTGCCTATGATCCCCAGGTGATGGAATCCCGAGTAGGTAGGTGGCGGAGCTGCAGTTATTTATCAGCATTTGGGAGGCAGGTAGTCTGGGGGTTGAGAGTGAGTTCTAGAGCCAGACGCCTGCGTTTCATTCCTGGGCTCCCTGCCACTCTGCATCTTGGTTGCCTCATCTGTGAATTGGCTGTTTTGAGGATAATGCATGCAAAGTGCTAAGGACAGTGATTGGACCACAGTAAGGAAGGGCCCACTTAATGCCAGCTATGAAGTGGAAGAATGCTAGGACTCGGAAAGACTTAGAGAACTAGACCTTGGACACGAAGAGCAGGAGAGCCCCTGCAGTGCACCCAGTGAGAACACCTCCGAGCAGCATGAGAACATCCATGCGTCACGAATCCTGGGACAGGATTATGGTGCACTGCATAGAGGATGGGTCCGCCGAGGGTCGAAGAGCCTTCCAGGAGCCAGGATTAGTTGAAGAGGAGAGTTCAGAGCTGGAAAGGGAAGCTCAGAAAAGAGGGTGTTAGAGAAGTGTCCTCAAATAACACAACTTGTCCCTCAGGAGATATTTGATGGCTGGAGACATTTTTGATCGTCATGATTGGGGGGAGATGAGTGCTACTGACATCTAGTTGTCAGAGGTTCGGGTCACTGCTAGACATCCGACAGTGCACAGGACAGTCCCCATAACAAGCCCTAAATGTCAGCAGTGCAGAGGTTCAGAAACAGTGGCCTAGCACCAGGGGTAACAAAGGCCGCTGGGAAATAGAAGCCTGCATTTATAATGTCATCTCCACCCACCGCCCGGTGAACACGTGTGTGCACACTTAGCTCAAGTGAGTCTAGCTCCAGCATCTCCTCTCACTGTGCAGTCCGGAACCTCAGATGGCACTGGCCTGCTCCACGCTTTGTGTCTCCCTCCCAGCCTAGAGGCAGCAAGGAGAAATGGACGTTTGCTTGGATTAGAACAGTGGTTCTCAACCTTCTGGCCCTTTAAATACAGTTCCTCATGTTGTGACCCCCAACCATAAAATTATTTTTGTTGCTACTTCATAACTGTAATGTTGCTACTGTTATGAATCGTAATGTAAATATCTGACATGCAGGATGGTCTTAGGTGACCCCTGTGAAAGGGTCGTTCGACCGCTAAAAGGGTCGCAACCCACAGGTTGAGAACTGCTGGATTAGAGGTTGCAATAAAACTGTTTGCAAGGCTCTTCTTTTCTAGGTATCTTGAATCTTTTTTCACTGTATTCCTCTCTTACAGGCACTTTTTTGCACACTAGGCAAGGTGATTGATTAATAAAAAAGTGAGTAAGGAAGATTTAGTTCATGACTTGAATAAAGAAAAGTCCAAGCTTGAAGACATAGAGATCCTTGGCATTTTGTCTGTAGGACAGTTTTTGAAGTCACTATGGTTTGGGTGGGGAGAGAGGTGACAGTCTATGCGTGAAGTGGAGGGTGGCCTGGTGTGTGGGACCATTCTGGAGTGAGGCATTGTGTGGGGGGATACTTTGATCAGGGAGAAGATAGGGACCTTTCCCTTTTATCCCAGACCTGTAAATTCGGCTATTTGCAGAACTCTCCCATAGGCACATTGAATTCAACACATCCAGACTTATCCTTGTCCCTTCACCTCACATTTTCCCTTCTTGTACTTTCCTCTGTAGCCCCACAACTTACTCAGTGGCTCAGGCTGAAGTTCGCGGTCATTCTGGTCATCTACTTCATTTAGTGATAGATAAGTAAATAAAAGCCATCCTGGGCCAGAAGTGCTCCGGTGGGGCCGAGGCAGACGTGTGACCCTCCTGAAGGAATGTACCTGCAACCCAGGCTCCTCAGGTTAGTTTTCCAAATATGAGTTGAATCCCAAATTATAGAACCTAGGAGGGAACCAGCCAACATCAGACTTGCAGCAAAACAACCAACAATAGAAGTAGACCCTCTCCCCCGGCAAGGACTTCAGAGTATTCGAATCAATCAGGTTTAGTATTAAAGTTATAAAGACTTTAATAATAAAAGAGGGTGTTGAAAACATGGGCAAAGAACAAAGCATAACAATGAGGAGGCAGATTTGTCAAAGAAGCAATTTGTAGAAAGGAAGGAAATAGTCACTGAATTATAGAAACTCAGTGAACAAGTGAAGTAGTAGGTTGGACTCTTTTTGAAGAATGGATTGATGACAAGGCTCAGGAAATGAACTAGATGTAGCAGCAGTTATAAATTAATTATAGGTTATAGATGAAAGATAAAATGTGGAAGAGAAGTTGGGAGATATCAAGGATAGAATGAGAAGGTTTAAAATGAATCTAATTGGACTTCCAGTGAGAATACAGTTCTTAGCTATTATCAATTTAAATACATACTGGCTGAGAATTTTCTAGAATTGACAAAAGGCTGGAGTTCTCAGCTTCAGGAAACACAATGAAACCCCACGCTGGATAGATAAAAATTCTACCCCTAGATGTATTATATGACACTTAAGAAAATAAAACATGAAGAATGTCTTAATAAGGAAACAGAAGGAATAGACAATTGCTCATAATGAGGCCCCATTTCCCTGTACTCAGTAACAATGGAAGCCTACAGATAGCAAGCTTATTAAATGCTGAGAAATAATAATGATCAGCTTAAACATTTTTTCCCAGATAAACTTTTATTTAAGAATAAAGATGAAGTGCATTTTTTTCACAAATAAAAAACGGAATTGGCTCCCATCATACCTAAGCTAAAGAAAATTATAGAGGCTGTCCTTATGAAAGGATCTTTTTTTTTTTTAAATATATTTTTATTGATTTTTTACAGAGAGGAAGGGAGAGGGATAGAGAGTTAGAAACATCGATGAGAGAGAAACATCGACCAGCTGCCTCCTGCACACCTCCCACCGGGGATGTGCCCGCAACCAAGGTACATGCCCTTGACCGGAATCGAACCCGGGACCCTTTAGTCCGCAGGCCGACGCTCTATCCACTGAGCCAAACCGGTTTGGCCTTATGAAAGGATCTTGAACTCAAGAGGAAAGACTGAGGATGGAAGAGAGAATGGTGAGCAAAGGGATTGGTAATGTGGGTAAATCTAAGTAAACTCTACACGCCCGTTTTAACACCTTGGCACATAGTAAATGCTTGACTAACACATAGATGATTCATCAGTTTCCTGAAATAATGTGCTTTCTTGTTCAACCACGGCAAATAGAGGAATTGACTTCCTACTCAGGATTTTTCAAAGAGAAGCTGGAATCTCAGAAGGACTCCCAGCAGGATTCGTCTTACTTTGCGGAGTTCAGAGGCACAGTCAGTACCTGGGATGTGATTTGGAATGGCTGAGTTTCTTAAAAGATTTGTGTCTATTTATAGGCTGCTGAGCAAGTTTTAACTTAGTTATTAACTGAGTTTACCGCCATTTACCAAGATCCTAAATATCAGTCTGGATTTATAGTGGGAATCTGGAATTTCTGCTCATAATGTTCTCAGATTTCACATCAATTAACTAGAAGACAGTTCTAAATTTATCATTTCTGAGAACCCATGCTAATCTAGGAGGAAACATAAAGAGAATGAATAAAATGGAGATTAGTATTAATTAAATACTACAAATCAGAACACTACAAATCAGAAGCCACTCTTTCTCCCTTATGGCCCTGACTTTATTAAAGAAGTATTTGCTAATCAAAAACATATTTTTACTGCTGAAATTTAGATATGCTATCAGGAGTATAGTAGGATTTTGTTACTGGGGCTGCCTTTATTCAAAATCAATAGATGTGCGCTCTCAGTACATATTCCTCTTTTGGAAATAGTTTCTTTTGAGGAGTTTTATTGTAGCCTTAACACCGATGTCCCTGATCTAATATTTATTGACTCTTTAGCCATCATTCATTCATTCAACACATAGTTTTGAGCACTTGTCAGGTTCTGCAAGCACTAAGGTTGCCGTAATGAATAGGACTGATAGGTGGGGCAAGTAAACACGTTTTAAAATGAGAAGAACTGAGAGAACCAAGTAGGGTGACATGATCGTAACTTGAGAAGGGAGATGCTTTTTAGACCAATAGTTGGGGAAGGTCTTGCTGAGGAGATGACATTCAGACAGAGACTTGAACAGCCAGAAGAAGCCACCTGGGCAGAAGCATCTTGGGTTGAAGGAGCAGAAACTGCCAGGGCTGAAAGGCCCATAGGAGCATGGTGGGGGTTCCCATGGTGCGTTCGGTGCCGACAGTGTATTAACGCGGTGGCTTAGCTGGCCCGACATCTTGTGGAATCATTTTGGTTTTATGATGGTGTAGAAAATTATAAGAGCTAAATAGATGTGCAGAAAGAATAGAATTGAGACTGAAATCCATAACTTAACACCTTCATGTACAAATCAAAAGACCACATTTTGGAAATTGCAGCTTCTCCGAGATGTGCACATATAATAGGAGTTTTGCAAAGTTGCCAAACATTATGTGACAGCCACACTTTTTAGCAGAAAACAAATCCTTAGTGTGGTCTGAAAACTCTAATTTTACTTTACACATCAAATTAGTAACTCTTAGTAATTTGCATATTTGTTATTGGTGGGTTGCTTTCAGCTTCAGGTAGTAGAAACTGAGACTGGCTGAAACACAAGGGAATCAAAGTGGCTCACGTGATTGAGAGACCGGAGCGTCAGAGACAGGACTGAGCTCCATATGTTGCTTTGCCCTCAGATTCTTTTCCTCATGGTTGGAAAACAGCTGCCAGCAACCAGGGAAATACGCTTCCTGTTCATGTCCAGAGAAAGGAGAGTAACCACTCACCGTTCTTTATGCAACGTGAGAACAACCTCCCAGAAAGGCCCAGGAGCTCTGTCCTTGGTGTTAGTGGCAGAATTGAGTAAAAATGCTGAATTCAGAACATTGAGGTTTTTTCCCTGAGCTGAGGTCGTTGGCTAAATGCCATTGCCCTTCTCTAAGTGGGAAGAGTGGGAACGGCAGCCAGCATGCACTGTGAGTTTGTAGTGCAGTCAAGCATGAGGGTCAAGAATTAGCATTTTGGATCAGTCAGGCCCAGGAGTGAC